GTGGAGGTAATGAAGAAGAAGAAGAAGAGGAAGGAAATGAAGGAAAGAGGGGCTAGGGGAGGTCGAGGAGCAAGGGCAAGTATGTAGGAGAGGAGAAGATGGAGGAGATGAAGGGGAATGAGATGAAATTAATGGAAAATGAGTAGATAGAGTGAGGCGAGGAGGAGTATGTCGTGGGAGACTTTGAGCGAGAGAGTAGAGTGGATGGTACAGCGAGGAGAGAGGCCGAATGAGGCGAATGAGCGGGAGCTGGAGAGAGACAGATAGGGAGTCCGACTGTACAGGTCGGCCGGCAAGCCAGTCACGGGGCCGATGTACGCCGGGTTCGTTCGACTCGCCGAAATTGGAGTCGTCAACATGTGATCAGCCCCACCAGAAGCAAGCCGATCCGGCTACGATGCACAAGCAACCCTTCCAGACGGTCTCATAATAACTCAGTCATTTGTCCACAGGGTGTCAGGCTTCCTATTCTAAATCCAGTTTTGCGTACACGCAGTCACAAAACCCAGGCACATTCACACCGATGAATCGATTTCTCCAAGGCATTCCTTGCACACCTTCGCACGGTGTATATGGAACCCTTGACAAATAGCCTGTGTCCACAAGTTTGTGTGTGTGTAGGTGTGTGTGTGTGTAGGTGTGTGTGTGTATAAGAGAGGGTAGAGGTGTGGGTTGGTGGTGGAATGAGGTTGCGAGAAAAGAGGATGAAGATGCTTTTTTTACTCTGACTTGAGGCGTCTGTCTGTGTAGATGCAGGTAACTGGCGTGGAAAATAGCCAACTTATTTTAGCGTTTATTTTTAGCCATTATAGGCGGATTACGAAAGTGAGAGTGAACCGAGGATCACCTGGCCCAGAACTTTGACAATGGCCGCTTCCAGTAAGCAGTCAAAGCAAGAGTCAACTCTATTGATCATTGTAGACGCAACAGGAAATCAATGTCTGGTAGAGACGATAACAGACAAAATTGAACATGAGAATTCCGATAGTACAGTAGAGCTAGAAGTTCATGGCCATAAACGAGTGAATACGAGTAAAAAACGCGAGAGGTGTGTTCTGATAAAAGTTGATAGAATAGAAGACAAATAAGTGGGCAAAATAGTCGGAATGAGGAGGAGAGCAACAAGAAACCGGACATGGGGGCTAAGTAGGCATGCAAGTAGTATGGAGTGTGTATGTGTGTATGTGTGCGCAAACGGGCTATCAACAGAGTGGATGTACAGGCCCGTAATTAAGTGTAATGGCAGTTGTTTAGACAAATATGCTGCTATTCTTCTGGTTTAATTCTGGTACAAACTCATGTAGTTGCAGGTTTCTAAGCCACTTATTATGCATGTGATTAGGAATGTGGGCATTTAGGTTTGTTTTTTTCAATTGAAATATTGACTTCGAACCACTCAAAACGAGAATAATGTATTATTATATCATTTTTTATAATGCCCGGTCGCCAAGAGGTATCTGGCCGAGTTCCCTGCTCCAGTAACTCGGCCAGTCGGTTGGCATTAGTTACGGGCGACTCGTCTGGCGTTTGAAGCTAACGTGAGCCGAATCACGGAACCCGAGACGTTGCGACCCGGGGATGCAGGAGGGCCAGAAGTAGACGTGGCATTGGCACATGTCAGGACAGTATCCGTGCCACATGCTCACATGTACCAGTTCTGTTGTGCATACCTACCGTTGGTATGTTTGGCCTAAGTTCGCTCGAAGGGAGGGTAGTGCAGTCCAGAAACCGCCTCCTTTCGCTCTCAACAGTGGATGCTGACCGAACCTCGGAAACCAGAGGGCCCCAGCCTGTCTCGAGGGGAAGGGGTGATGCAATTGCGAATGATTCGAGACCAAGGCCTGACGACTGACGCTGAAGTCAACTCTGGTAGAACTAGAATGTGTGGCCTTCTACAAATGGCAACAAATTCTATTAGGCTACACAATTATGGACTTTATGCCAATCGTGAGTCAAGAAAAGACTGAATGTGCTATCTCTTCCAATTGAGGCGACAGCAACATGTAAGGCCCAACCCTTTCCACATTCGAAACTAACACTATTAGCTTTACTATCGCCTTAAAATGCTATTCCTATTATCACTACTATAACTATTAGTATTCACCAAGCTATCGCAATCACTATTACTATCAGTAACGTTATGAATATTGC